CTATTTAAATACTTTTTTAAACTTGACTTTTTAAACCTGGAGCCATTCAGGAGGCCAAAACGATACAAATATTAATGCACATTTAACAAAACAGGTCTCCTTGCTTTAAATGCGTGCAGGGGCCTTTAATTCGCCATATGATAAGTAACCATGTGCTCGGGATGACGTCGAACAACAGCTGAGAAAACAAGCTTTTTCACACAAGCTGCCATTCTCTTCCAGAAGCACCTATCTGCCAGTTTCCACCTCAGGAAGCTTCACAGCAGTGACTTGTACATTATAGAGTGGTTTTCTGTGTTCCAAATGCAGTTACGCTTTTTCGACAAAAGAGGGCAGACTTGACCACAGAATAATTCATTCTGGACTTGCAAAGCTTCACAGTGGCATAATTAAAGTGATGCATAAGTGGTTTGGTGTGGCTCTCTCACTTAGTTTGGCTGTAATGAACAAAAATATTAAAATTGACTTTTTTGCTTTTCCCATGTAATTCTGGCTTTTTCCTTTTTCACATGCAATTCTGTGGGACTTTGGTGTTTTTCCAACTAAGTGTGCTGAATGAGCTTCTCAGGCTGAGAAAACAAGCTTTTTCACACAAGCTGCCATTCTCTTCTGGAAGCACCTATCTGCCAGTTTCGACCTCAGGAAGCTTCACAGCGGCGACTTGTACATTATAGAGTGGTTTGGTGTGGCTCTCTCACTTAGTTTGGCTGTAATGGACAAAACTATTAAAAGTGACTTTTTAGCGTTTCCCATGTAATTCTGGCTTTTTCCTGTTTCACATGCAATCGAGCCCCGGACTGATTTCGCACTCTTGCTGGGGCAGGTGTATATAGTTGTTTGCAGTGTTGTGTGTGTGTTTTTTTTTAAAAAGACATTGACTTTCCCCTCCACAAGGACCGGGACTTTGCCGCAGTGTGGAGGCTTTCTACCAACACCGGTCCACCCACCCTGCCACAACTCTTCTACAGCACAGTGACACTCTGCTTGGAAAAAAAATGTGTGTCCCATTCACACCTGTATAACACGCTGTCATGCCTCTGTGCTGTTCTGATTCTATGCACTGACAAGTCTTATAGGCCTGCTGTGTGTCTGCTGCCTGTCATATGGTTTAAGGGGGGGAATCATTGTGTGTCCCATTCACACCTGTATAACACGCTGTCATGCCTCTGTGCTATTCTGATTCTATGCACTGACAAGTTTTTTTATTTTTTATATTTTGGACATGTGGGTATGTTCATTAATGTGATCACTGTTACATCAGTTACATCCAGTAGCTGCGACGCAAGATATCGGACTGCCATTTGTGCTGGTTCATCTGCTGTTGCCACTGGCTCTGTTGCTGCCAAAAAAATAAAAAGCCTTGTATGTACAGGTACTTCACACTGTAATGCCCCTGTGTTATGTATCCATGCATATCTGTGCTGAGCTCTTATACTATGTGTCTGCCTGCTGTGATTGCCTTGTGCCACTGCTCTGTTCTGCATCACCATTTATTATTATTATTATTATTATTATTATTATTGGATTGTAGTTTAAATAATCTATTTTGCTCTGTACTTCTGCTGTGTTTGATGTTGTTGTTGTGAAGATGCAGAACACAACAACAATATATTTAATTGATATTTATTTCACTGAAGAAAAAGGGGAAACAAATTATACACAGCATGTAACTTTAATTTATACATAAATAATTTATTTACCCTTTTTTACTGAGAATTGTATTTTATTTGTAAAGCCCTTTCCACACTGATATGCTGCACTGTCCTGTATCCTGGACATCTGACTTCATATTTCAAATAAATTGTCATCATTTTATACTGGTATCATTGTTCTCTTGTCCTATATCAAATTTAAAGCAATAAATATTCTCAATAAACACTGATGATACATATTCTCAATAAAATGAAGACACAGGAGATAAACCGTACTGTAAATGAAAAATCCATTTATTATTGCATTGCCTGGCCTTGGAAATATGCAAATTCATTATCATTTATAGACTCTATACAACGGTTCCAAGCATGTTTTAATCATTTTTTTATATTTAGAGAAGACATTTCGACGCTATGCACGCGTTTCGCAGTTTGCCTCCGTCGGGATTCGAACCGGCGAGCGGGAGTGCCGTTCCGCACGTCGACCGCGCGTCTTTTGCGCTCTAGTGCGCATGCGCGGGTGCCGACCAAAACAGAGAAGAACGCTGGGGGAGCGCCTCTGCTCTGGGACAGCCTTCGTCTCTGTACCTGTGTTCCACATAAATGTCCCCACCTACCGATTTCAGAGGCTATCATTGGCTCATGCTCAAATGGAACAGGCCAATGGGTGAAGGCCAGGTCAACCCCATTGGTCTGTTCCATTTGGGTGCTGTGCTGTGATTCGACAGCTCGCCGCATGTCCCGCCCACCCCCAAAGCCACAGCCACGGTCAGTGTCATTCATTCATTCGGACTGAGCGGCGTTTGAGTGAGCGGACGGACGGACATTCACACAATATTATAAGGTTAGACAAACTTTATTGTTTGTAAAATTATGTGCTACATTGAAAAGGCAGCTTATATATTATACAGTAATCAGTTAGCAGTGAAACAGCGAGCCAATGTAACGTTAGCGTAAGTTAGGACTGCCGCCGATGTCATTACCGATCGGTGAAATGTGTTTAAAATAATATTCCCATACTGGGTTTACTTGTTGAGACCTAGGATATTGTACTGCTATTGTGTGGAGTTGATATTTAAAGTTTAACTGTGCTTTAGATGCGTTAGCATATAAATCGCTATTAGCATGCTAAGCGTTGGGAATGAATGAGCATTTAGCCACTGCTGTGATGAGCTGACGATCTCTGGAAACGCTTTAAAAACGTGATGAGACAACTTGGCTCACTTCTTAAGACCCTTGGTATGCTGGTACAACGAGGTGGAGTCAAAATTTGAAGTGTAAATATGGTTTAAATGTGTAAACAGACCAGCCGTGATTTTGCTAGCTAAAAACAAGGAGGTGAATGAGGTCATTTTAGTTACTACTTTTCTGAGGGCTGGCGATCTCTCACAATGTATTTAATCTTTAAACAGACTACCTGATTATCTTCCTTAGACCCTGTAGATGTAGTTACTACAGTTTGAAGTCAAAATTCAAAGTGTAAATATGGTTTAAATGTGTAAACAGGACGCCTGATGTTGAATGTATGTTAATGAATGGGCACAGTATCATTGAGTACAGTAATAGACTGTCAGTAGGATGTAAACAGTGCATGTGTAGCAGATTACTGACTTAAATCTTATTTCTTGTCTTTCTAGAAAATGCAGCCTATTTTCCGCTTTGAGGCAAACCTTGACCTGACCCTGCGGGCCTCTCAGGAGGCGCTGGCCTTGAGCCGCCGCCAGAGGGGGGCCTCTGCCTCTGCCACTGCCCTGGTGGTGGTTAAGACCCCTGAGCTGGTGCGCTCTGAGGCAAGAGACAGGGTGGTGCAGAAGGGAGGTAACCCCACCGATCACCATCAGGTGCTGGCCGAGAGCGAGCTGCAGCTCGGCCAGTACCGTGGTCAGACGTTCCGGTGGCTGCTGGAGAATGACGTGGGATACGCAGTCACCATCTGTGTGTCCCACGAGGGAGAGAGAGACAAAGGGGGCACTAGTCAGCAGAATGCCCTCATGGTGCACAAAGACGCCCTCGTCTCCTACGCCAGGCTGTTCCCGCCGATGGTGGCAGCCATCGACAGGCGTAGGATGCTCGAGGGCAGTCCCCAGACCATGAGGGGCGTGGACGACACGCTGGTGGGGTTCGGTGTTCATAGTGACCTGACCTACAAGACCCTGTACGAGTCGACGGACCGTGAGCGGGCAAGGTAAGTTGTTTGTTTGTTTGTGTGTGTGTGTGTGTGTCTGTGTGTGTGTGTGTGTGTGTGTGTGTGTATCTGTGTGTCTGTGTCTGTGTGTGTCTGTGTGTGTATCTGTGTCTGTCTGTGTGTGTATGTCTGTGTGTGTGCGTGACTTTTTTACCCATTGCATTTCTGTTCTCTTTTTAGCTATGTACAGTTTGTGAGGCAGGCGGCACCCACAGCCAAAGCGTCCAGGTTGGTGGACTTAAAAAAATATGTGCAGGCCCGGGATGCAGAGAAGGCAGCCCTGGCAGCACAACCACCACAACCACCCCTGGACGCTGTTGGTCCCCAGGATGGACCCTCGGATGCTGACCTGCTCGCTGCCGCCATGGAGGTCGACCCGTGCAGGGATGCCCCATCAGCCGTGCCCCCCTCTCTCTCTCCCCAGCCACCGGAACGTCCCCTTCAGGACAACACCTGTGGGGAGAGGTCAGGCCCCGGCGCACAGGTATGCTCAGTGATGACATATTGTGTTGTAGTGTGTGTGTGTCTGTGTTCAGTACACTAACGGTCTGACACTGCTGTGTGTTTCAGCTGCTACCACGTGGCTGGAGGCTGACGCTCCCGAAGAGCAGCACGACTGGGTGGGCAGGGCACTGTTCAGGAGGGCACCCAACGGGCAGGGTGTCCTCACATCTGAACTCCGCCTGTGGTGGCACCCACCAGGTGCCCGGCCCCTCTACACCCAGCCACCCGCCACAGCCCACCCCTTTTTCCAGAGTCCCTTTTTCCTGTGGGTGCCCTACAGGATGTGGGCGTACCACCTCCGCTGCCCCATCGTCGCCTGTGGGGGCAAGCTTGCGGGAGCTGGCCTCTACAAGACGGTGAGGAGGGTCTTGGACAGGAGCTGCTGGTACTTCATGGGCACGGAGTACCTGGAATGCAGCTCCTGTCACAAGAAGATGCCGGGATGGTCGCAGGACATCTTGGGACAGCTGGACATGGCCCATCGTGAGCAGTTTCCAGCAGTTCTCACGTACAAGTAAGTAATGTAAACAGTAACAGCAACAGTAATGTATTTCTGTGGTTTTCTCCAGTAACCTCTGATCACCTCTTTCCCCTCCCAGGTTGTCCTGCGACAGAGCTGTGATCGGGCTCATGAAGGAGCGCACTTTGGGCAACAGTGCGTCTCGCCTCCGTGCCTCTCTGGTGGAGCAGCACACCAGAGAGTGGATGGCGCGGTCGATGCTGTACCTTTCCGTGCTCCGCAAGCTTCGGGTACCGGGCGCTGCGCCGCTGGCGGCGTCGTCGCTCCCAACCATGCACCCGGTGCCCACAGTGCTCTGGCTCATCAACGTCTACGTCAGGGACGCCTTGACGAGGCTCGACGAGACGAGAGCCAGAGTCACTTCCATCTTTGGTGATCTTTTGAAGATGGACTCCACCAAGAAGGTAGGTTTTGTTATCCACCACAGCGTGCCGTGTACCCAGTGTAATGTTTGTTTTGTCATGTGTCTGAATGTTGTTGTGTTGCTGTGTCACACAGATCACCAAAAAGCTTGCGGGCGGTGCTGCCGGGACGGCCGCCTGGGTCACCAACGTCGGCAATGAGTACGGGCAGGTGCTCATGTCCGTCCTCACCGCAGCTGAGGGGGGCGGACTTGTCGACATGGCATGGTACCGCGAAGCCGGGAAGGCCCCTCCAAGGGTCCTGTACGTGGACCGGGACTGCTGTGCCACCGTGGGACAGTGTCAAACGTCCAAGCTGTTCCACGAGTGGCACGAGCTGGTCGTCAGGCTCGACGTGTGGCACCTCATGCGGCGTTTCGCCAGAGGGGTGACCACCGACAGCCACCAGCTCTACGGCCTCTTCATGGCGAGGCTCTCCTTCGCCATTTTTGAGTGGGACGCCGAAGACGTGTCCCGCCTGAGAGGAGCCAAGCAGTCCGAGGAGGGGAGGGACGCCCAGGAGGTCAAGCTGTCCGCCAAGGAGCTCGCCCGTCACTGCCGGCGCCGCACCAGGGGTGCAGTGGAGACGGAGCGGCTGGTCCAAGAGGTGCTGGACACCTTCTGGCACGTGACGGACAGCATGGGCGTCCCTTTGATCGACCGCGCCCGAATGGAGGAGATCTGGAGCACGCAGCGCCGACACCTCGACTGCATCCAGGACCCTGCGGGAGTGGACCTCTACACCAAGACGGGAGAGCTCACCAAAGGCGGGGTGAGGCTCCCCGTCTACCGGTGCGGCCGAGGCTCCACTTCCCTGGAATCGTTCCACCTGCACCTGTGCCGCTTCATCCCAGGTAAGTACATGTGTGGTTTACAACACAGACTCAATTATGTATTTGTGTGTTTATTTGTTCTCACACTAACTGTGTTGCTTTGTTTCTGCTTAGGACAATCTGCAAGTGATGTACACTTCCAGGTGTACCTGCTGGAGGGCCTGGTGCGGTGGAACGAGAATCGAGGGAGGACAGAGGTCGGCGCTGCGTTGCTACAGTGCCCAGCTGCGGCACAGCTTCGACCAGCTGACCCAAGAGCTTCTTGGGCTCACGCTGGTCGACACGTACACCATGCCCAGGGAGTACACAGGTAAGTCATAAATCTGTCTGAGGTAACGGTAACGTTTAACACCTGTCTTAGGTGTCTGTCATTTAACATCTGTGTCTCTGTGTGCCCACAGGGGAACTCATTGGGGTGGAGTACCTGTTCTCCCAGACGGGCGCTGTGCTGCAGAAGGACCTGGATGATCCTGACGCTCCAGGAGGGACTGATGAGGACGAAGCCGGGGGGTGGGGGGGGGCAGTGATGAAGAGTTCGAGGAGGAGGAACCAGAGGAGATTCGTCTCCTCGAACACCACAGCGCTCTCCTTCAGTCCTCAAACCTCACCCGCGTGGACCAAATGGAGGTGCAGCAGGCTGTGGAGGAGGAGGAGGAGGAGGAGGAGGAGGATGTTATCGGGCCAGGTGGAGGCAGCTACCAGCACGTCGTGGCCCTGGCCCAGGCCCTCGTGGAACTGCGCCACCGCCGCTACGTCACTCCCAGGCAAGCCAGAGAGATCACCGCTCTCTGGCTGAAGTTGAGTGATTGGGACAAGGCAGCGGTCAAATTCCCCCCCCCCGTCACCAGGGCCGGCTTGTCCAAGGCCGATTCCGGACCACCCAGCGGCACGCTCACATGCCAGGGGTGTGGATAGTGTGAAGCGGTAAGCAGTCACAATAAATTTCCAAGCTTTTTTTGGTTCTTGTCCTGTCCTGTCAGTCACTAATTAACTCACTGACTCACTCTCTCTCTCTCTCTCTCCTCTCTCTCTCTCTGTCTATGTAGTGCGGTCCTCGGCAAGGGGGGCGGGAGCGGCGCAGTCTCCCGATGTGTCGAGTCTTGTGGAGGCTGTCCTGCTGGACCTCAGCATCCTCCACTGCAGCGAGGGCAGGAAGATTGCCGGGGTCTGGATTCCTCGCTGGGGTGCCGTCATGAGGGACTATCTAACAATTCGCGAGAATGTTTATAGTTGTGCAGCCCTCATGACGAGCACCCGCATCCAGCTATATGATGTCAATCGGCGGACCCTGACGCAATGGTAAGACCTGATCCTTTCTCTCACATCTGATTTGAAGTGGCACTGTGTGAGTGTGTGTGTGTGATGTCATGATTACTAATGTGCATTTGTTACATTCTGTTTTTTAAGGCACAACCAGAGGAGCAAGGCCATGATGAGGGACACCATCGCCATTGCAGTCCTGGGGCCCAGCACTCCCCCAGACTGCAGCGGAGCCCCTGCCTGCCCCACCGACTGTGCTGCAGCAGCCTGAGCAGCCAGACCAGCCCCTCCAGCACTGCCTGCCCACGGACGCTTCTGGTCCTGGACCTCATCGTCGCCAGCTCCTCCACTGCCTCCTCCTCCTCCTCATCAGCCACCCCACAAGCCTCCAGCGCGGACGCCGTCCTGTCCACCAGCGTCAGCGCGGAGGCCGGTGACATCCCCTCCACAGCCACAGCTGCCACTGCTCCACCAGTGCCAAGGAACACCGCCTGGAGGCGCAAGCTCCAGGAGGAGAAAGAGCGTTGTGCCGGGAGCTGGGAGAACACTTATAACCAGCAAAGAAGGTCTCCCACTTTAACTGCAGGCGCAGTGGCCAACCGAAGACGCGGGCGTTTGGCCACAGCCGCTACAAGAAGGAGACCTTCTGCTCCCGGGCCGAGGGGAAAGGGAGAACTGTGGAGCAGTGGCTGGCAGAGGTGAAGGGGCGTGATGGAGCAGCCCCCCCTGCCTGAGCGAACACTTCACTTTGTGTGTGTGTGTGTGTGTGTGAGTGAGTGATGGGGCGGCTCCCCCTCTCTGAGCGAACGCTTTGTGTGTGTGTGTGTGTGTGTGTTTGGGAGGGAGGGATTTGTAAATATTGTGTATATAGTGTATTTAGTTTGTCAATTATGTTTGCTAAATAAATATTGTGTATATAGTTGTCTTATATAAGATATTCCTTTATTTGTCCCACAATGGGGAAATTCCAATATATATCTATATAGTTGTATATTGCTGTCTTAATTGTTTTTGTTTTAAATAAACTTTTCTTTTTTAAACCAATGCTTTCTCCTGCTTCTTTCGGTCTTTAAGAAATTAAATAAATATAGGGAAGACTAGGTATCTAGACTAGGTGCCTGATATCACTAAATTCCCACAGGTAACAGTCACACAATACATCATTCCCTCTCCTCACTTAAAACTAGGGTCAAGGGGTCAACCCAGGGTCAGGTTCAAAGGTTTACCTAGAGACTAGGTGAGAATGGGCCTCAAATGGACACTGTAAAACAACAGGGGGTGCTGAGGGTTTAGTTGGACAGAATGGAAGGCAGAAAAGCAACGCGGAAAACCAAACACGTCACTTCATTAGGTTTGTTAGAAATATACTTTGTTAAACTGCATCTGTGTTTCTATGTACCTTGACTAACAGAGTTCTGTATTGTATTTGTATTTAAGTGGACTACGACTGCACATCCTCCTCCTCCTCCTCCAGCTCCTCTCCTTGACGGCTTCAGGCAGCAGAGCCAGTGGCGGGGACCAGCAAGCCCACCCGTTGCACTGTGTACAGGCGCAAAATTAAAGCAGCAAAAGACAAAAAAGTCCTCCAAAGTACCAGGGGAAAGCCACAGCACAAACCTGGTGACCCCTGCAACATCCGTGGCCAAGCATGCACGGTGGATGGTGGCCACACTTACCTCAAGGGCCAATACTTTTGTGCTGTGGAAGAGGGCCCTGGAGGACGCACAGTGCAAGAGTAGATCAGGGAACAGCTTGGCCCTGGTGAGCTACAGAAGCTCCCCAGAACAACAGCCTGGAACCTCAAACAGAGGCATGAGAAACCAGAGAAACCAGGTGGGAAAGTGAGGAAGCCCCACAAACTGCGGATCTGCCAACTCTGTGGCCAGCCACAGCAGAAAGACTTTGGCCACAGCCAATATGGGGGAGAGCACTTCTGTGCTTTCTATGAAGGGAAGACTGTGGAGCTGTGGCTGGCTGAGAAGAGTTTAAAAAGACATTAAAAGTTTTTTTTTTTTAAATATTTACTGTACTATTATCCAAGCACCTTATATGTTTCATCTGTTCACTGCACCTTATATTTTTTATTTTTAGTTTGCACTGCAATTATACTGGTTATTTATCCATTTTTTATATTGCATTCTATGTTGATTTTTTTGATATGTCTGTGTGTTGTTACTGTGTGTAATGCTGCTGCTACATTGCACTTTCCCAGCTTATCTATTATACATTTTGACCATTCCTAATAAATATTGAATTGATTAAAACCTTGTCATGTCTATTTAAATACTTTTTAACTTGACTTTTTAAACCTGGAGCCATTCAGGAGGCCAAAACGATACAAATATTAATGCACATTTAACAAAACAGGTCTCCTTGCTTTAAATGCGTGCAGGGGCCTTTAATTCGCCATATGATAAGTAACCATGTGCTCGGGATGACGTCGAACAACAGCTGAGAAAACAAGCTTTTTCACACAAGCTGCCATTCTCTTCCAGAAGCACCTATCTGCCAGTTTCCACCTCAGGAAGCTTCACAGCAGTGACTTGTACATTATAGAGTGGTTTTCTGTGTTCCAAATGCAGTTACGCTTTTTCGACAAAAGAGGGCAGACTTGACCACAGAATAATTCATTCTGGACTTGCAAAGCTTCACAGTGGCATAATTAAAGTGATGCATAAGTGGTTTGGTGTGGCTCTCTCACTTAGTTCAGCTGTAATGGACAAAACTATTAAAAGTGACTTTTTTGCGGTTCACATGTAATTCTGGCTTTTTCCTGTTTCACATGCAATTCTGTGGGACTTTGGTGTTTTTCCACCTAAGTGTGCCGAATGAGCTTCTCAGGCTGAGAAAACAAGCTTTTTCACACAAGCTGCCGTTCTCTTCCAGAAGCACCTATCTGCCAGTTTCCACCTCAGGAAGCTTCACAGCGTCGACTTGTACATTATAGAGTGGTTTGGTGTGGCTCTCTCACTTAGTTTGGCTGTAATGAACAAAACTATTAAAAGTGACTTTTTTGCGTTTCCCATGTAATTCTTGCTTTTTCCTGTTTCACATGCAATTCTGTGGGACTTTGGTGTTTTTCCACATAAGTGTGCCAGGCTGAAAAAACAAGCTTTTTCACACAAGCTGCCATTCTCTTCCAGAAGCACCTATCTGCCAGTTTCCACCTCAGGAAGCTTCACAGCGGTGACTTGTACATTATGGAGTGGTTTGGTGTGGGTCTCTCACTTAGTTTGGTTGTAATACACAAAACTATTAAAAGTGACTTTTTTGCGTTTCCCATGTAATTCTGGCTTTTTCGTTTTACATGCAATTCTGTGGGACTTTGGTGTTTTTCCACCCAAGTGTGACAGGCTGAGAAAACAAGCTTTTTCACACAAGCTGCCACTATCTTCCAGAAGCATCTATCTGCCAGTTTCCACCTCAGGAAGCTTCACAGCGACGACTTGTACATTATAGAGTGGTTTGGTGTGGCTCTCTCACTTAGTTTGGCTGTAATGGACAAAAATATTAAAAGTGACTTTTTTGCGTTTCCCATGTAATTCTGGCTTTTTCCTGTTTCACATGCAATTCTGTGGGACTTTGGTGTTTTTCCACGAGTGTGCCAGGCTGAAAAAACAAGCTTTTTCACACAAGCTGCCATTCTCTTCCAGATGCACCTATCTGCCAGTTTCCACCTCAGGAAGCTTCACAGCGGTGACTTGTACATTATAGAGTGGTTTGATGTGGCTCTCTCACTTAGTTTGGCTGTAATGAACAAAACTATTAAAAGTGACTTTTTTGCGTTTACCATGTAATTCTTGCTTTTTCCTGTTTCACATGCAATTCTGTGGGACTTTGGTGTTTTTCCACATGAGTGTGCCAGGCTGAAAAAACAAGCTTTTTCACACAAGCTGCCATTCTCTTCCAGAAGCACCTATCTGCCAGTTTCCACCTCAGGAAGCTTCACAGCGGTGACTTGTACATTATAGAGTGGTTTTCTGTGTTCCAAATGCAGTTATGCTTTTTCGACAAAAGAGGGCACACTTGACCACAGAATAATTCATTCTGGACTTGCAAAGCTTCACAGTGGCATAATTAAAGTGATGCATAAGTGGTTTGGTGTGGCTCTCTCACTTAGTTCAGCTGTAATGGACAAAAATATTAAAAGTGACTTTTTTGCATTTCCCATGTAATTCTGGCTTTTTCCTGTTTCACATTCAATTCTGTGGGACTTTGGTGT